GCTTGCTCGGGGAAAGATCCGTCCAAACGAGTCTTCCGGATATGCCAGCCGTTCCATCGGTTGATACGGCAATCAATCAAGCTGATCTCACACGTTAGGCCAGCCACGCACCACATCCCGCGGTGGGCGGGACCAGCTGATGAAACGAACCCATCGCTGTAAGTAGTAGGCCAGAGGCCTTGACGGCGCGCAATCTCGAGTCAGGAGTGTGGCATCACCCCTCTGAGCGCATTCCTGGAAATATTAGTGATGGAAAGGCCTTCTATGGTCACCTGACTCGTGGCTTTAATCAAACCCACCGTCTTCAGAATATAACGTCATCTGCGCCACCTGAGGCTTACCGTAATCGCTCCGGCCTGAAGCTGCTACATAATTTCTTCAATGGATTAACTGTGAATAGCAGAGACATTAGCTGTGACTGTGCAAAACCGCTTTTGACCAGCGTTTCAGGGACGTCGTAATGGTCTATGGTACCTCGACGACCTCGTTGAGCTCGTACCGTGAACCATGTTTCCGGAAAATCTTCTGATGTCGTCGGTGTAGAAGGCTGTCATGTAACGTTTAGATAGATTAGAATGTGCTCTTCAATACTGAGTTGGGGGCAGTCGATTTGATTTTAGCAAAGTGATTAATGCTGTCTGAAATGTGGAGTCAAGTGTCTCTTTTTTTGGCCACCCCTGTATATTAAGTGGTAGCCTTAGCGCATTTTTTTCGGAAATTATGTGACACCAACGATTCTGTAGACTTCCCCTCTCGGTTGGGAGACGTGCGTTTCTCCTCCTGGGGTCAGGTCACCACAGTTGCGCGATCATTGAAGCTTAAGGTTAAGTTTGGGTTTAGACTTAGGTTAAGGCTTATGCTTACACATTGGCTTATGCCTAAGCCTATGATTGGGCCTAGGCTTAGTCCTAAGCTTGCTCCGAGCGAATGAACGGCGTCTCAATTTTAGGTGACCTGACCCCAGGAACACCTTATTAACCACGACATGTAGTTTTCCAAGATTCTTGTTGTAAAGCCAACTCCTGTGCAGTTTGTGAGCCCGTGAAGTGCTAAAAACCTTGGCGTATGCTAAATTTCAGAGCATTGACAACATTCTGTAATGGTTAGCTGCAGCCTAGCCAAACAGATGATGTACGGGACATCAAAAAGAAATATTCGCGATGTGACAGTTAACATGAATTTGTTATATTTATTATCTTCAGTTGCTCTGATGATAACAAGAAATTGTGATAATAAGATAGAAATCATTTCTTATCAAAAGCAGTTGACCCGTTTCAAAGCAAACACAGTTCGAAATAACCAAAGCAGTACATGAAAAGCAATCGTGCACAAAGCTGATCGATTGGTGTCAGATGATGGAGAGTTTGTGAGCACGAGAAGTGCTAGAATCGCTCGGTCGATGCTAAAACAGAACTATTAACTCAACATTAATTGACCAGGAGCTGACCGGTAGGCCACGGTCAAGTAGCCGTGGCCATTCCAGGCCGGAAGAAAATATTGTAACTTACAGTTTTTGATGCGGGAATGTATTGTGAATTGGCTCGTTTGTAAGTGGAAGACGAGCAAATGCGGAAAACGGTTCGACGAAATTGTCGATTGAACCAACAGTAGATGAGGATATTGGAGGCACTGAAATGATTCCTTTGAGTGACGGTAGGACAAATATTAGCTCAAAATAGACATAGGCGGTTGCTCCAATATTTTTAGATGAAACAGATTTAATTCCACTGCGACATCTCGACAACTAACTGGCGCGGCGTTTACTGTCATTTTACAGTGCTCGCCAACGACCTTCCCTGGGTTATGGGTTCAGCGGTCAATCGACTAGGACTGCCCTTGACCTTGCTATTTGCCGAACCAAAGTATGAAGATAGGGTTTAGACATTGAACGATCCCTCATCCATCTGTCCGCGTTGATGTCAACTCCGACACCATAGAGAGGCCCCACGCTCGTCATTGAACGGCGCGGTATTAGGCTCACGGAAAAATATGTTAGCTATCGCCGCCTAGAGTAGCCATTGACCTGGCCCACACGTGGAGTAATGCGAGCTAGCATGGGTTGTCTCATACGGCTGCTCTCACGAAGTCGGCTCAACGCTGGTGACTCCGAAAACTCTTGTAAGGAGCTTTCCTGATCTGCCCTCTCGCTGCTAACTGAGGGGGTCTACTTTTGGCCTTGTCGACGGTGCTTTTTCGTTTCCTCTTCACTGCCGTTCTGCTTCGCATCTCTACATCAGTCAAGCGCCATAATATCTCAAAATCGAGCCCGACCTATGCCTCTAATCATTCAACCAGCAGCAGTGCCACAGGGAGCTTGTGTCTAGCTTCGAATTGAGAAGTAATGAAGGACAAAGATAGGCAATCCTTCTCAAGTGCAAAACTAGGCTAATGAATGCAAGTAAGTACCTGTCACAAACGAGTAATGTAGAGAGTCTGGTTACCGTGCGATACGTTCTCGGTATTGTGTGCGTATGACTGTCGATGATATTGTTGATCGCTGGCGGAATATTGCATAACACGAAAATTCCCGTCATCACTATCGTCATCACGGTCATTCTGGAAGGAAATGAGATTTTAACGTTAACAATGCTGATGAAAATACAACATTGTTTTATTTACTGGCAGGGACCAATTTAACAAGAAAGACACGTCTCGCGCGTTGCTGGTGGCAAGAGCCATAAGTTCGTGCTGGCCAAGTAGCTGAAAGATCAAGGTTTAAACTTGTAGAACAGGAAGTCCATTTCGTTATAACTAAAAAATAAAGCATTTGCCGTTGATCAATCCCTTTTTGGATGCGGCGCGCATTCTACTTCCATTTGTACATTCGTAGTGGCGTTTGAATGCGATGTGGCCTATACAATGACTTGCGGGGCCAGCCGATGTACAAGTCAGTGTTTTTATCCTCCCAGACAAGTCTGGTACCAATTAACCGACCCCGGAGGGATGGAAGGCTTGGTTGGCCCGGGCGACTCACGACCCAGGATTTGATCCCCGGACCGCTCGCGTGGTAAGCGCGCCACTTGCCACTACACCACTTCCGCCCCTTCGTATACAGTAGCGGTCAAAAGTGTTCGCCGAAACGGTTTTCCGTGCTTCCTTTTTTGCCAGAAAAAAATCAATGGTGGCCTCGAAATTTTTTCTTTGAATATCCTGATTCTTTAAGACTTGAGGATATAAAAACACTAGAAAACATAGTATATCAATCTTTGGAGGGCGTTGCTCAAGCGAGAAAAATAATGCACTAAAAATCGTTTCGGCGAACACTTTTGACCGCTACTGTATCTCGTATCACATCCAGCTAGTCAATACGTAATGAAACACCGATCACGCTTACTGCGTGCGTTTGCTCTTGCAGCTCTGAGAGTACCGCCTTTTTGGGAAATATCGGACACGTTCATGGAAGATTCACGATCTCCCAGGAGGGCCAGAATATCGTTCTTCAGATCCCGAGAGGATTTAAGGGCGAGACGTGCGAAGCTCTAAAACACGCTTCACAGGGCTTGAAAAGGTCAGTGTCCCTTCCTGATATTTGCACTCATCATTCCTCTCGCCTACGTAGAACTCTGCCCTTGCCGTTATTCTAACATTTGGAGGAGTCCCCTGACTTTTACGTGCTCTAGTGAACAAGTTCGCATGTTTGAGTGAGACCACAGATCCCTAACGAAAGACGATTCCTCAGACTCCCGAGCTATGATTGCCTGGCGTTTCAGCATAGCTCAAAATTTGAACAAAAAACTATTGTATAATAATATGAAGGAAAAATCTGAAAACTCACTTCCGTTCGTCAACGTCCCTTCGAGTTCGGGTATTGCTTTGAGTCAACTGTTTGTGTGTTCGATAAGCTTCACGCACCTTAAGTAGCAGATTTATAGAGCAAAAAAGCATTGAAGATTAGTAGAATGGCCAAAGCGATCTGGGTCAAGACATAAGGATGCAGCGGTGCAGCAACAATCGCAACGCATCACGCGCGCGTCATGCACTTATGGCAGCATCACGGCTCGCGTCGTCATTGCACTTTAGTGTGCTGGGTATGCTTACTTTCTATCAGATCCGTAAGCGTATTGTGACTATTGGCGAGAAAGGTCGCGTACTAGCCTCATGTTCTCGGAGGGTGCCGAACATGATGTCTGGCCAATCAGGATGATAAGGAGGGCAATACCAAGGCCAATATCAAAAGACATGCAGAAACGGTGTTGGGCAGGTTCTAAAGTTCTGAAGCAGTCAGAAACACGACGCGACGTCGAGGCCCGCTTGTAAATGACGTTACTGCGAAAGTTGTCAAAAATAAATGCTAACCATAAGAAAAATTCTAAACAAACCTTCTGAATGACGATAGCATTCACGACGATGATGCACCGTCCATGGTATCAGTAGAGTAAATATCACATACATATAGGTCATATAAATCAGCTTGATACGTGGGGATCGAGCCGTAGGGATGAGGGTGTGATTTGACCAGAATCATACCAGTACAATCTCGCAAGAAGCTTGCAGGGCAAAATGGTGAAACAGCAACTGAAAACCAGCATATCAATAGCAGATGTAGATTGATAAATCAAAAATCTATCTATTTATTCGATTACAAATATGAAAGCTATGTACGCAGTGCCGTTACAGTAATCGGTGTAATTTTGCAGAAGGACCCTTGCAGGAGGGAGTTATGGTGATTGGAACGTTTCCAGAGCCCGTGAAAGTGAGTGTGGGAACGCGGCTCAGACGCGTTCCGAAATGACAACCAAATTGGATGGGCGGAAATCTTGACCGTTGGATACGATAGGTAGTTGTAATGGGGATCCCGAACTTGCTGACGTTTGAAATAGGATTAACGAAAAAATGTCTACTACCTAGACATCAAACAAAGTATGAGTACGCAGACAGAGACTACGGTTATAGGTATACTCAAATCCAAGTTCAAGCGCATTGTTATGCAGAGATTATAGGCCATAGGGCATGGAAAAATCCCTGCTCGATCAATGGATTCCGCGAGGTTATTTTTTTTTCGCTGGTTATTTTTGTTAGCTATCTTCTGTTACCCTGTTATACTAGGTAAGAAGACAGCATCATTTTTTAAGACGATAATGAGGAAGCAAATAATAAGTGATTAATAGATAAATGTCAAGCAGTAATATAAATTAAATAAGCTAAATTAACGGGTGAAAAACAGTCAAATGAAGCTTTTGCGCTTCAGAGACTCAGTGGACAGCATTGTAAAATTGCTTATTCACTTTAGACATATTTATTTCTATGATTCAGATATTATTAATTGTTGTTGAGATTTATTTATACAATTTTCATCGGACCACTTGGAAGGAGAGCGACTCCACAGATGAACGGTACGTGTGATGTTTTGGAGTTAGCCAGAGCACCGTTTTTTTAATAGAAAGAACACAGCAATGAAGCGTCCGACGCAAAGATCGCAGACACAAAGGTTCCACATTGATCCGCTGAATATAGAAGAAATAAAGCAAGGGTCGTTCGTGGTCAAAATCTTTGTTTTTTTAGCATCAAATTTCCCGTTCGAAGACAAGTGCACGCGCTCCCCAAAACTCAATGTACGCAGATCGACGCAAATTTTTTTTATCTCAATATTTGACTTTACTATTGGGAGAGATAAATTGGGAGTAATAAATAGAGAGCATACGTTACTGTCTTTCAAAAATAGAGCCCCAGAGCCGTCAACAAAGAAGACAGGACAATGGCATTCAAGCGCCTCATGTCATTTCGCATAGATTAATTTTCATATGGGATATTTCTTTTAGGGTAAACAGACGATTGGACATCTTGGATCTTTGGACGGCACACGATCTTGAGGGCAAGCCGACGCATGGCGCATCCCGAATGTAAAGATGATCACCGATGGTATTGTCCTCATTTCAATTGCTTTGAATGACCCCTTCCCCTCCGTCCTCCATAGCCCGCACCTTCTCACGGTTCCAAGGTCTACTCTTGAAAACTGAATTTTTTGAATTAAAATAGGACATTGGAGAACAGTGACTGTTCGGACCGTTGCGCTAAAGATAATTTGTATGAAAAATAAAATCAGCTTTTATAAGATTATAGGAAACTTTGCTGTACCTGCTTGTGCAATCAGTGATAGTGGATATGCTATCAAGGTCGATCGCCAGAAAAAGTGGCAAACTCGGCTGTCTACCTGAAAACATAGAATTTTACCTGGCAAAATTTCAAATATCCTAATTAGGGTACCAATAGCTGGCACTAAAGATATGCAGTCTCATCGTGCCAGATGGAAATTGAGCTAGCTGGAATCAAGGCTATTTGGCTAGGTAAGCAGCAGAGCTGTTATCTTGAACATTACATATACTTTTCCTGAATTGTAAAAAAAACTGTCAGAACGACCCCTCCACCTCCCTCCACTTGCCCCTCAACTTCCGTCACCACGACCCTCTCTGACTCTGTGAAGCTCGAATACGACCCCTTTCCAAAATCATAAGTACGTAGCAATCAGAAATACGATTTCATACCAGGTAATCCCAAATGCAACCCGCTGAACTTGGCACGGACGATTAGCCCACACCGAACCACAAGGTACTTTGGGGAGCATGTTACCACAACACCACAAAGACCTTTCATGGAATGGATCTCTCTTGAATGCTGTTATTCTACTCAGGGGAGGTTGAAGGCATAACTTTGAATTTGTAAACGCACTTCGCAAATTTTTTCGAGTTTTTAAATTAACATTGGGTGGGGAACGCTGTGCGGTAGATCTCGTCTCTTTAGGCTTAACTAACTGTACCAAGACTATTGAAGAGGATGTTTCAGTAAGATGGACATCGGCAATCCCAGCAATTGTTCAGATCTATAAGGCATTCAAATAATAGCAAAATTTTCAGTGGAAGACGATGGTATGGATCAGTTGGAAGAGCTGCTGAGCCTAATCCATTTCATACCCTACTCAGAGTGTCCCTCAAAGTACTAGGCGATTTTAATCACCTTTCTGACGCCAATTCTCAGCAGACAGATCATTCGGTGTAGAAACAGCTCGAGTAAACTCTTTTCACGGAAACGCTCAAAATAGCCGCTATATTGAGAGATCTAAGGCTTCGTCTGAAAGCCTGCTTTGTTACTTTTGCCTAATCTGTGCATTCATTCATGGGAAAGCCATTGATGCAAATGTTCTCACACTTCAGTTCTCCCTTCGGGAGCGAGTAGGTGAAGGAATCTTATCAGAAATCAATTCTGAAAGAAAAAAGTGTCCAGACAAACTTTTGGGTCAATTCCCGTGTCACGGCAACTTTGATCGTCGTACAACGGGGATAAAAAAGAGGTTTGTCTCCCTTCCATCCCCCACATTTTACGTGAACAAGATCAGCTGTTTGTTGATGAAGTTCAAGGAGGAAAATCCTATCTTTCAAAGGAAGCGTCGCCCAAATAAATCCCGCGTTAACGAGTAAGAAAGATGCATAGTGGATTAGGTGGGAGACCTAGATAGGTTCTTCACGGGGCAGTAGTGCCTTGTCAGCGATGAGAAAGCCGTCAGAAACGAACTCTTCAACTCCAAGAGGCTCTTGCTGCCCACGATTTCCGACGTAAAGGCGGAAAAGGCACTACTTCTGGATGGCACTCAATGGTAGTACAGGGCGGCTTATCTTTATCCGTATCGTATCGTCTTTCGCTGGGTGATTTGCTCGTCGCATTTATTCTCTATCTCAGTTTCTCAGTTCCGTGAATAACGAGCTTTTGCCCTCCTCTAAGCAAGCGCGACCGCTTCCCTCAAAGACAGCGTGTGTTATACTTTTGTAGGAGGTGAGGAGGATGTTCTGAGAGGACTTTGTACGAAAAGTCATGGATTTGGGGGAATGTTGGATTTTTTTCATGAGTTACTCCTTCCCTCCCCCTTCACGCGTCGAAAGACTTTTTGCGATGGAAAGTAGATGAAGGCTTGGAAGTGGAGATAGCTTGCAGAAGAAACACGTGCCCCCCGAGGAAGATTACTGCTGCGCATGATTAGGATAGTTTCGCCGGGGAGAGCGGTAGTGGTATAGTGACCCGTTTAAAAAAACGGGAGCTCATTTTCAAGCTAAAGCTCTTCACAAACTAATATTTGATCCCGTGATCACTCTGACGGGAAAAGAGTCAACCACTGCTGACCAAATGCTGCTCATCTTGCTTGAAATACTGCCCATGACGGCGCTGTAGGAGGGATTCAGGCGAGAGATTGAGGCCATATGTAATTGTACAGTATCACAGTAAGCATAAAACATATGTATTATACTATATCCTGCGAGTAGGACCGCACATCAGAGTGAGGCTTAGCCCTTTTTCAGTACCTCTTTGTGCAAAAAAACCTGTTTGACTTGGCGGTGATGTACATGTGTCACGAAGTGTGGGAAATAAATATAATAAACGATTTGACTATGTGAAATTCTTAATACATAGATATATCGAGAAAACTTCCCAAGTGATACATTGAAAGGAAATCGGGCAAGACAGAGCTGAACTTGATCAGAATATCGCTCAACATTGATATTAATGAGTTACCGTCCTATTCAAGTTTGGGGGATGGTTTGTGCCACCGAACGGAAACGCGATCATAACAAAATACATATATTATATAAATAAGGCAGCAACCGATTAACGCTCTATTATAATGACTACACAGCTCAATCTATAAAAGTGAAGCCTACCCGCAGAAAAAGCTTCATGGACTAGATTCCGGGATCCGATTCCGCCCCACTGATAGTGTGGAGAGATGTTCAACGCTTCACAGAAGAAGCGTAGAAGAGTTTCGGCAGCAACGTAGATGACTGTTCAATGACTTCGAGCCTTAGCGGTCGATGCACCGGAATCTGTTCCTATATGATCGTTGCCAACAAGAAAACGGGTCTAAAGGTAAAATGTCTTTCCGGTAAATTCCCGACCTGGGTCAAGTACGATTACTCGGAATTGCACGGGACCCCGTTGCCACGGCGCTTCGCGCTGCTTTTAAAACATTTTTTCTTGACCTTAAAATATAAACGGCGAAATGGTACCAGACTTGTCTGGGAGGATAAAAACACTGACTTGTACATCGGCTGGCCCCCGCAAGTCATTGTATAGGCCACATCGCATTCAAACGCCACCGAATGTACAAATGGAAGTAGAATGCGTGCCGCATCCCAAAAAGGGATTGATCAACGGCAAATGCTTTATCCTTTTATTACGCAGCGCTAAGGTTCAATCTATTATAAGTGAATCTCAAATAAGTGCTGAATCTCTACGGTGGCTGCGGAGCCAATGAGAGCAATAGCTGCTACACGATTAGGCAGCTGCATGTTCTCCTTAAGGAATGGCCGCACGCATGTCGTTCGAATATAAAATCGTGAAGTGTTCCAAAAGCAATGCTGGCTACACAAAATGAATGAATCCAGCGCGAATACTTCTCATGTTCGTTGTACTCTCGAACTACCCGTAACAAATGACTGACTAGAAGGACAAACGAACTTTGCTTGGGATGGACTACTGGGATTCGATCTGATCAATATTAGAAACATTCTAGAAGACTATCACAATCGGTTTATTAATAAGTTTAGATCCGCCCGTTTCGTATAGCATACATTATACGAAAGCAAAGCGAAAATGCTAAACTTACTGGATTTGGTTGGTTTTGGCAAGCATTCATTGCTGGATAGATGAGCAACGTCGACAAGAGCACCAGCACATCAAACAACGACAATCCGCACAGCAAAACCTGGAAAATTCACTCAACTCGGAAACAAAATTTCAGAGAAAAAAAATTAGGTGATGTGGTTGTCAAGGGGGAAGAATATTTCGTGGCTACCTGAATAGAGAGACATAACAACTGAAACCAGGTATAGGAAGAGGCAGAAACTCCGGAAAAATAGAAGTTGGCTACAAACGCCCTGGAGCTAATCTTCACTGTTAATGCTCAAAATTTCGCTTTCAACAAAAACGGGATCATTTATGCAGTTGTGAATGCCGTGTCACCACAATGCCCCCGTATCTTGCGATAGCGCCAGAGATTCAGTGAAATCAATTTGTTCAGTAGAGTAATTACTTTATTTATCAAACATCAAGATGGTCAATTATTATTGTGATGGAAAGGTTGTTTTAGGAACTCAATAACGCCGTTTGTACTTTTGAATTTGTTTAAGGGGAAGGGGGATTGAATCAATTCAATATTCATTCAAGCGGGACCATGTGATTAAAGAAATGCCGATGGTGTTAATCAATATCCATACTATCAATCGATCAATAAATTCAATAATTCAAAAGCGGGTTTTTGTTTTCAAATGTGACGATTCACTTCATTTTATGAAGATAGATGCGATTTTCAAACTGAGCAGCAATCGGAGCAAAGAGGTTCGGTAGTCATGTCACACGGCTTACTGTAGGTAAATATTCGTACCTCCAAGGATGTGCGTCGCATTTTTGCGAAAACCACAGCTGAGAGAGCAGCGGCAGCAACACCGGGTATGCATATCTGAAAATGAACATCATCATTACTATTATATTTGTTTACTATTTATGTTGACACTGTCCTATGTCGATTTACCTAACAAGTGTAAATAAGTTTAAATATTCGACATTTTGGAATGGATACTTTTTATTTTATTTTATGTGTTTTGTTTTGCTTTTATTCAATTTTATCTGTTTATTTGTTTGTTCACTTGCTACACCCACGATTTTTTTTTACCTATCCTACATTTTCGAGTGAATCTGCTTCTGCAACTTTTGCCCTTTACCTTGAGGACTCAGGAGTTCCCCTCACCTCAACTGACAGAGCGTAGCCCTTTTTAGCTGATATTTCCTGTGCCAGGAGTGCAGTCGCAGTTAGCTTCATGTTGATCTGTGATCAGGTAAAGTTCCCTGGCGTAGCCGAATACTACCACGAAAACCCCTATCAACATGTTAGGAACCTGCGGTAGCCTCAGGGGAGATTAACGAGCCGACATGGGGTAATTACTCAGCAATTGGTCCGAGACGGAACTGGTCCATTGCACATCAAATGCTCATCATGCGTCGTCATTGACATGACATGACCATGAACAGCATAATAAGAACTCTATGGCCAAACCGAAGTGAATGATTGGCCAATTTTGAGGAATTAATTAGAAAAAGGCAAAATCACCTAACAGCTACTGATTACGCTAGAGTTTTTAGATGAATATAAAACTCAATACGCTGACTCCATTGGACCATTGGAATGTGAATGCAGAGGTGTCAAAGAAGAAAAAAAAACAAGCAAAATGGAGGGAAACCCGAAAGATGGCACCCCTTTTCCCCGCCGACTTCAAATACGGACGGGTTAATTACAGCTGATGGCACCTCGGTGGCCACTCGACAACTTGCCATTTACAATAATACTATCAGTAGCTATCTTATATGTAATCGTTATAATATATGTACTCCTACTGCGGAAAAGGATATCACCTATGTGCGTCAGGTACTTAAAAGTACGACTTCATTTTTGCTCGGGCAAGCCTAGATAAGCTAGGCCCATCATATAGATACAGCACACAGGCAGGTAGTGTTAATGCTTCTCTTCGGTCTGTAGTATAGACCCCTAGAGGACAATCACAAATGTGGCGTTCTCGTGCACGGAAACCGACCGATAAGAGCGCTTGGGCCTTGCAAAGTAAGCTGCCCAAGCTGCAGACTTTTTTCTCTTATCAGGCTGTTGTCTGGCGATCTCTCATCTGTAGCGCTCTCTCGCCCATACTCTCCTCTCCGCGCTTAGTCTCTCATTCCCTTAGCACAGCCGATTAGGAAGGTGAGTGAGCCCTTAACCTAAGCGTTTTTGACGGATTCTTTTCCTTTTTTCTTTACTGCCGGCCCACTTCGCACCAATACATTCGCATTCGTGTGCAAGAGCCACACCAATGTGATCCTGGGGCATGCCTTTAAGCATAAGTCTTAAAGCTCAAGCATACATTAGGTTTTAATGATCGCGCAGTCTGGTGCTTATGAACGTCTACCCCCCTCCCACTCCCATGCGCAAAAGGGAAAATTAAATGAGGAAGATTAAAGGTGTAGCTTGACGTGAAAGGCACTCCTGAAAAGAAAATCACATTGCTGATCGGGCGCATTCTGCCCCGAAAGCGCCACATAACTTCTTGGTACAAGTATGCTCTACCCTCGACTACATATCCTCTCTTCATAGAATCAGGCCTCATAAGAGTTTTGTTTTCAAGTTTTTGTGCATGAGAAATGAACCTCTTCAGGCGACAGCTCGCAACTATGACAACTCGTGTGCAATTGTGACAATCGAATAAATAAAAATATAAATAAATAGAACTATGAAAATGGTAGGCTGGGGGACTGTAGGCAAAGAAAAACGCATTAAAAGGCTACTGCCTTGTCTACCTCCTAAATTAACGCAGCGCGAACGTTTTCAACGTCTGAGCGTCCCTTGGAACGCTGAGGAGCAGCGCCAGAGTTAGGCTAAGAGGTCGCATGAAAAAGTTTAGGGATGCAGTTTGTCACATAGTTCGGCGTGAAAAATGCACACGAGCCGGAATCCGAAATGTCCATGGTAGATTAGTTGATCGCTCGAGGGCAGGCAAAATGCGACGTGCGCTTTTTGCTAGTAACTGGCTTTCCTTTAGTGTTGAGTGATCGTCAAATACCTTCACTTCCGGCAATTATAAGTGGGAGTGCATGACTAGCAGGGTAATCTGATCCCTATTTATGCTCTTCGCAGCGTCTCATTTCAGAATTCCGTCCACTCGTTCGCGACAAGTGCAATCCTCTTGTCATAGAAAATCAATTTCAGCACATCAAACTTGACAAAAAAGTGCTGTCACGACGTCAGTCCAGATTTTCGCAGTTCAAATATTAGGTAGCGATTACTGAATTTCCCGAGGTCTGCCATGTGTCATTCAGCACAACTTAAGAAGGTCCACGAGGGAAAACCCTATTATTAGTGACGTTGGGATACGAGGTAGAAGGAAATTATATGTACTCCTACTGCGGAAAAGGATCACCTATGTGCGGGTGTGTTTCAGTTTTCCTCCTCAGGTCAGGTCACCTAAAATTAAGACACCATTCATTTGCTCGAAGCAAGCCTAGGAATAAGCCTAAGCCCAATCTTAGGCCTTAAAGGCACAACCCAGGCAGAGTTCGGTGTGAACGCTTCTCTTCGGTCTGTAGTATAGACCCCTAGAGGACAATCACAAATGTGGCGTTCTCGTGCACGGAAACCGACCGATAAGAGCGCTTGGGCCTTGCAAAGTAAGCTGCCCAAGCTGCAGACTTTTTTCTCTTATCAGGCTGTTGTCTGGCGATCTCTCATCTGTAGCGCTCTCTCGCCCATACTCTCCTCCGCGCTTAGTCTCTCATTCCCTTAGCACAGCCGATTAGGAAGGTGAGTGAGCCCTTAACCTAAGCGTTTTTGACGGATTCTTTTCCTTTTTTCTTTACTGCCGGCCCACTTCCCACCAATACATTCGCATTCGTGTACAAGAGCCACACCAATGTGATCCTGGGGCATGCCTTTAAGCATAGAGTCTAAATAAGAAACTCAAGCATAACATTAGGTTTTAATGATCGCGCAGCTCTGGTGCTTATGAACGTCTACCCCCCTCCCACTCCCATGCGCAAAAGGGAAAATTAAATGAGGAAGATTAAAGGTGTAGCTTGACGTGAAAGGCACTCCTGAAAAGAAAATCACATTGCTGATCGGGCGCATTCTGCCCCGAAAGCTCGTATAACGTTCTTCTGCTTGCTCTAATCCGCCTTGATACTCATCTTCTCTTATAGTCATCCACCTTTATTAAGAGACTTGTTTTGAAGTTTGGGCATGAGAAAAATGACCTCTTGAAAAAGACGACTCCACAACTATGACCACCTTAGCGATCGTGACAACGAATAAATAAAAAATAATTATATAAAGTTATGGGCGGAAGTGGTGCAGTGACAAGTGGCGCGCTCACCACGCGAGCGGTCCGGGATCAAATCCTGGGTCGTGAGTCGCCCGGGCCAACCAAGCCTTCCATCCCTCCGGGGTCGGTTAATTGGTACCAGACTTGTCTGGGAGGATAAAAACACTGACTTGAACATCGGCTGGCCCCCGCAAGTCATTGTATAGGCCACATCGCATTCAAATGCCACTGCGAATGTACAAATGGAAGTAGAATGCGTGCCGCATCCCCAAAAGGGATTGATCAACGGCAAATGCTTTATCCTTTATAACTAATAAAACTAACTGAAAGTGGTAGGCTGGGACACTGTAGCGCAAGTTAAACTAAAAGGATCCCGCTTCGTTTTTTTTACACTCCTCGAATTACCCACCACCGAACGGTCACATGTCTCAGAGCAGTAAACTTGGAAACCTGAGGCACACGCACAAAGTTAGACCTAAGAGTTCCACATGAAAAAAGTTAAGGATGCAAGTTCGTTCACACAGTTCGCGGAAAAATGCCTAGCCGAGCTGAATCGCCGAAAGTGTCGCATGGTAGAAGTTGATCCCGAGGCAGCCGACAATGCGACCTGGGCGCTTTGCCGTGCACTGGCCTCTCGCTTTTAGCTTGAGTGGACGTTAAATACCCTTACTCTCCGGCAATTATAGTGTGGGATTGCATGACTCACGGGGGGTAATCTGTTCCCTATTTATGCTCTTCGCAGCGTCTCATTTCAGAATTCCGTCCACTCGTTCGCGACAAGTGCAATCCTCTTGTCATAGAAAATCAATTTCAGCACATCAAACTTGACAAAAAAGTGCTGTCACGACGTCAGTCCAGATTTTTCCAGTCACATATTAGTAGGATTACATGAAATTCCCCTTGAGAGTCTGGCATGCTATCGATCATCACTAACTAAAGAGATCCACGAGAGGAAAATCCTATTCTACTTTTCAGTGAGCGTCGGGCATACGGGTGGAAGCAGAAGGGCGTGGGAGTAGAATTGTTCCGGATTCTTATAAAGCTGACCTTGGCCGAAAATAGCGCCAGGTTCTCAGAAGTGCCATCTCAAAGCTTTCTCTCTTGTCTTTCTAAAAGTACATCTGAATAGGACAAAATCTGCCTGAGTGATTGATTGGTTGAGGACAGCATATTCCCTAAATGCTTCTATTTTTATTCCAGATAGCCCTTGGGAGTTCTTCCTTGTTTCTTCTGTAGCTCGACTTCACAGATCACCTTCAGGATCCGTAAATATGTTTGCTCAGAAGAATTTGGATATTGTTTCGGACAACCCCGAAGCGGAGAAATTGCTATTTGACACATCTACACGTTTCAATGCCCCTTGAATTGCGAAAGAATGTTCAATGCATGGCGTATAACAAGGGAGACAATCACATACCTGGGACTTTTTACGTGTTCTGAAGAGGTATAGATTCACCGGGGCCGGGATTGAAACACTGATCATAGGACTGAGCTGATGGGGTCCCTTCTAATCCCTGCGTCCATATGAACCGGATGTGAAACGGTT